AAAATAGACAAATGGGATCTAATTAAACTTAAGAGCTTCTGCACAGCAAAACAAACTATCAATAGAGTGAACTGGCAACCAACATAATAGGAAAAAATTTTTGCAATCTACCCATTTAACAAAGGGTTAATATCCAGAATCTACAGAGAACTTAAACAAATTTACAAGAAAAAAAACAAACAACCCCATTAAGAAGTGGGCAAAGGATAAGAATAGATACTTTCCAAAAGAAGATATTTATGCAGCCAACAAACATGAGAAAAAGCTCATCACTGGTCATTAGAAAAATGCAAATCAAAATCACATTGAGATACCATCTCATGCCAGTTAGAACTGTGATCATTAGAAAATCAGGAGATGACAGATGCTGGAGAGGATGTGGAGAAATAGGAATGCTTTTACACAGTTTGGTGGGAGTGTAAATTAATTCAACCATTGTGGAAGACAGTATGGCAACTCCTCAAGGATCTAGAACTAGAAATACCATTTGACCCAGCAATCCCATCACTGGGTATATACTCAAAGGAATATAAATCATTCTATTACAAAGACACATGCACACGTATGTTTACTGTGGCACTGTTCACAACAGCAAAGACTTGGAACCAACTCAAATGCCCATCAATGATAGACTGGATAAAGAAAATGTGGCACATATACACCATGGAATACTATGCAGCCATAGAAAATGAGGAGTTCATGTCCTTTGCAGGGATATGGATGAAGCTGGAAACCATCATTGTCAGCAAACTGACACAAGAACAGAAAACCAAATACTGCATGTTCTCTCTCATAAGTGGGTGTTGAAAAATGAGAATATACAGACACAGGGAGGGGAACATCATACACCAGGGCCTGGGGGGTGGGGGATTTCAGAAGGATAGCATTAGGAGAAATATCTAATGCAGATGACAGGGCAATGGATGTAGCAAACCACCACCATGGCACATGTATACCTATACAACAAACCTGCACAGTTTGCACATGTACCCCAGAACTTAAAGTCTAATAAATAAATTTAAGAAAAAAATTTTTTTAAAAGTTGGACTTTATCAAAATTGAAGACATTTGCTCTTTGAAAGACACTGGAGAATTAAAATGCAAGACCCAGATTGGGACAAAATATTTATAAATCAAATATCTGACAGAATATATAAGCCAAGAACATATATAAAGATCTGTCACACCGAATGTATAAGCCAAGAACATATATAAAGATCTGTCACAACTCAATAAGAAACTGAATAGCCCAATAAAAAAAATGGACAAAGAGTCTGAATAGACACTTTACCACATTTATGTGAATGGCAAATAAACACATGAAAAGATGCATTCAAAAAATGCAAATTAAAACCAAATGTGATACCAGTATACAACTATTAGAATGTCTGTAGTTAAAAGAGTGGCAATACCAGTTAATGCTGGGTATGTGGAAGAACTGGGACTCTCATACATTGCCAACATCAATGTATATTATTGCAACCACTATGGAGAGCAGTTTACCAGTTGCTTAAAAAGTTAAACATACAACTACCATGTGACCTTACCATTTTACTCTTAGGTTTTTATCTAGGCATAATGAAACTATATGATCATACAAATCCTTGTACAAAAATGTTCTTAGTGGTTTTATTTGTAATAGCCCAAAACCTGAAATGACCCTATATCCCTTAACAGGTGAGTGGATAAACAAATTGTGGCATAGCCATACAATGAAATAATATACATCCATAAAAGCAATAAATTAATGATAGATGGAAAAGCATAGATGAATCTCAAAAACAAACAAAAATCTGCATAAACTATACCACAAAAATTACAGAACACCAAGGAAGGTCCTAAAGGCTCCCAAAGAAGGGAAAAAGCCAAAACAGTTCACATAGAAACATAAGCCTTTGAAATGCTAACTAAAAATTAAAAATTTCAAACCATTACTCTAGAAACAACTGTGAGAAAATAATAAAGGTGTTCTCTAATATGCAAATCCTCCTTTTTTCCGTCCCATGTGCATCTTTTTCTCAGGAAGGTCTACCAAATGATGGGTGCACCAAGAAAAGGAAAACTGAGGCTGGGCATGGTAGCTCATACTTGTAATCCCAGCACTTTGGGAGGCAGGTAGACCACCTGAGGTTAGGAATTTGAGATCAGTGTGGCCAACATGGCAAAACCCCATCTCTATTAAAAATACCGGGTGTGGTGGTATATGCTTGGAATCCCAGCTACTCGGGAGGCTAAGACAGAAGAATTGCATGAACCCAGGAGGTGGAGGTTGCAGTGAGCCAAGATTACACCACTGCACTCCAAGAGCAAGCCTCTGTCTCAAAAAAGAAAAAGAAAAAAAAAAAACTGAATAGAAGGAAACTTCCTCAACATGCTAAAGGACATACAGTATAGGAAAATTCCACAGCTAAAATCAGGATCAATAGTGAAAGCCTAAAAGCTTTTCAATTAAGATCAGGAATCAGGCTAGGCATGGTGGCTCCGAGCTGTAATCCCAGCACTTTGGGAGGCCAAGGCAGGCATATCATTTGAGGCCAGGAGTTCAAGACCAGCCTGGCCAACATGTTGAAACCCCATCTCTACTAAAAATCCAAATATTAGCTGGGCATGGTAGCAGATGCCTGTGATCCCAGCTACTCGGGAGCCTGAGGCACGAGAACCACTTGAACCTGGGAGGAGAGGTGAAGGTTGCAGTGACCCAAAATTATGCCACTGCACTCCAGCCTGGGTGACAGAATGAGACTCCATCTCAAAAAAAAAAAAAAAAAGATAAGAAATCAGAAAAGTATGCCAGCTTTCACCACTCTTATTCAACATAGTCTAGGAAGTCCTAGCCTCAGTAATTAGTCAAGAAAAAGAAATTGTAAAAGTGTCTAAATGGGAAAGGAAGAAGCAAAACTAACTCTGTATGCAGATGGCATGATCTTGTATGCAGAAAAACCTAACAATACACACACACACACACACACACACAGAGAGTTAAATGAATTCAGTCAAGTTTTGAAATCCAATCTTAACTTTAAGACTCAGAAATTAGATCTGATTTGAATACTGAAAAAGTTGTATTTCTATACACTACCAGTGAATGATCAAAAATGAAATTTAGAAAACAATTTCATTTACAGTAACATCAAAAATAATAAAATATTAATGAGTAAATGTAACAAAGGAGAAAAACCTGCACACTGAAAGCCACTAAACATTGCTGAAAGCCATTAAATACACAAATAAATGGAAATACATCTCCTGTTCATAAACAGGACTTGGTATGGTTAAGATGGCAATACTATGTAAAGCAATTCATAAGTTCAATGAAATCTCTATCAAAATCTCAATGGCATTTTTTGCAGAAATGTAAAACCAAGCCTAAAATTCATATAGAGTGTCAAGGAATATCAAATAGCCAAAACAGTATTAAAAAACAAGAACAAAGTTTGAGGATTCACACTTCCTGATGTCAAAACTAATGTAATTATAGTAATCAAAACAGTGTGATACTGATATAAAGAGAGACATATAGACCAATGGAATAGAATTAAAAGTCCCCAAGCAAACTCTTCCATCTATGATCAACTGATCTTCAACAAGGAAGCCAAGACCATCCAATGGAGAAAGAACAATCTCTTCAACAAATGGTGCTGGGAAAACTGAATATCCACACGCAAAAGAATGAAATTGGAGCCTTATCTTACACCATAGACAAAAATCAACTCAAAAGAGATCAAACACCTAAATTTAAGAGCTAATACAATCCTTAGAGAACTATACAATCCTTAGAGAAAAACATAGAGGCAAATTTTCATGACCTTGGATTTGGCAATGATTTCTCAAATATGATAATAAAAGCACAGGCAACATAAGAAAAAAATAGGCAAATTGGGCTTCAACAAAATTAAAAATTTTTGTGTGTCAAAGAACACTATCAAGAAAGTTAAAGGCAATCCACGGAATAAGAGAAAACATTTCTAAACCTTCTATCTGATAAGGGGTTAATATCCAGTATATACAAAAATGAAAACTCAACAAAAAGAATCAATTTAAAATATAGGCTAAGGACTCAAATAGACATTTCTTCAAAAAAGATAAACAGACAACCAACAAACACATGAAAATATGGTCAACATCACTAATTGTTAGGGAAATGCAAATCAAAGTCACAATGGGATACCTCTTCACACTGGCTATGATGTTTGTAATTAAACGACAATCTAGAAAATAAGAAGTGTTAACAAGGATGTGAAGAAAGTGGAATTTTTGGATATTGCTGGTGGGAATGAAAATGCTGTGGCCTCTGCTGAAAACAGGTTGGCAGCTCCTCCAAAAGTTAAATACAGAATTACCATACGGCCCACTTTTACCAAAACTTTTAGGAACAGACCCAAAAGAATTGAAAATAAGAACTCAACAGATACCTGTACCCCAATATTCATAGCGGCATTATTCACAATAGCCAAAAGGTAGAAACAACCCAAGTGTCCATCAGTGGATGAATGAATAAACCAAATGTGGTTCATACATAAGCAACATAGTGTTCAAGTATAAAAAGAATGAAATTTGCATACAAGCCGTAGCATGGATGAGCCTTGGAAACACTATGCTAAGTGAAAGAAGCCAAACACAAAAGGACAAATATTGTACCATTCCAGTGATGTGAAATATCTAAAATAAGAAGCCTCATAGAAAAAGACAAAAGATCGGAGTTAAGCAGGAAGTTGGGGGAGAAGAAATGGTGAATTATTGCTTAATGGGTGTAGTTTAAGTTGGGGATATGAAAAAGACTTAACAATAGTGATATTTGTACAACATTGTAAATGTAATTAATGCCACTGAACCCTGAACAATAGTACATTTACAATATTTTTTATATTATGTTGTTAAAAAAAACACTAATAATAAAAAGTATCCAAAAATAGGCAAAATTACTGTTTTTCTTGTACCATGGAAAGTTGTAGTTTAGTAACATAACGCTATGAAAGCTCAAAAGAAACCATAAAACTTACTTGTTTAGACATATTTTCTAAAAATTGTGGTGATTTTTCTCTTAAAAATGTGACAAGATCTTTATAAATGGAACCTTTTCTCTCATAATTAATGTCCTCTTCATCATCTGTTTTGCCCTTTGGGAAAAAAGAGTTTAGTTCTATGATTAACATAAGAACAATTATAAGAACCTGATCAATATATCACAAGCTAAGCATGTGTATTGTTTTCATTCCTGAAGAATCTGTATGGTAGTCTTTATACATGGAATGTATAGGCAAAATCCTTCCCCCTTAATTTAATGTTATCTATTTATCCTTTCATTCATTCATTCCTTCATTCACTGAATTGTTTATTCATTCAGCAAGCATTTACCGAGTACCTCCTATATGCATGTAAGGCACTCTGCTATCCAGCAGAGGAGTGAAAGCTTCCTTCTCTCCACTCTCCTCTACTCTGAAAATGCATTATGACTTCAGGAGCCTTAGTTGATGAAGTCATAAAAGGCTCCAAGGTTAGAATTTCACCATGAAAAGGCCAATGTTCCTGTTCGTCACACTCTGTTCTTCCGTCTGTGGCATGGTTGCTATAGGCTTATTTTCTAGATCTCTATGTAACGATCTGTCCATACACCCATGTGTCTCCCACTCTCTTCCTCTCTTTCCTTTCTTCATTTTCCTTTTCTTCCCTACATTTTCTGTTCCTCTACAACACAATATATATATGTATACACACACATCACATAACTGTATATATATAAATATATAACTGTAGTGTGTTATATATAACTGTATACACAAAAACATTTCTATACATATGACTTGTGTGTTTTAAATTTAGTTGTAATTATTGAGTAGTTTTATGGTCCTTGTCTTTCATTTTTTTTAAACTTAAAGGGATACTTAAATATTTCCATGCTAAATAAGTTGTATGTACATAAATCAATAATAACTTTTGATAGAAATAAAGACTCCCTGCCCACCTCCAGAAGGTCAAAAAAAACTCATTTCTCCTTTTGTCTCTTTATTCGTAATTAGAGATTTCATTTTTCTAAGATATCAAAGCAAAATCTTATTTTTCCACTTCCTCTTTGTAGAAATGAGCTCAGTGTCATGCTAATAAGAAAAGCACCAAAAGGCATGTCAGAAAGATGCCTACAGGTAATCAGAAAATAGGCGCCTGCATTTTGGTACCCACCCAAGCCAAGGTGTCATAACCCTCCCAGCAGTCCCCTGTGATGGCTGGGTCCCCATTCAGGACTTGGGTGCTCCTTGTAGAATTTTGCTTCTGAGTTTCACATTTATGTTGAAGATACTGAAGGCAGGATGTTGCAGAGGTGAAAGCTAAGCTCCTTCTAGCTGGTTCTGTGAATAGGGATGAGTCTAAAATGTTTTAACCTAGAACACTGTGTGCTGTTTATCACTCAGCTCAAAGCCTAGCCACCCAGCCTCTACTTTGTGCTACTCAGGCAGGGAATCTGCATTGTTGTATTTCTCCTTTGCCAGGCTAGGTTAGGCTCTGTCATTAGAATCAGCTAAAGGAAGACTGAAGGGCTGGGAGAGGAAGGAGGGACCTGCTCCTTCCTGCTGGCCCACTGTCCCTGCTAGAGTCACCCAGCAACGGCCCTTCCTTCCTTGCAGTGGCAGCTGCGTCCAGTAGAAACAGTTGGTTCCAGTTTCCAGGTTAGTTTCTTTCTCACAGTCCCAGAACCAGGCTCACCACACCCCCTGGGAAATATCACTATCAGCAATCCAGTGTTCCACATTCAAAGGTCTGGGTCCCAGATCTGCCAGCTCTACAAGGATCCTCTTCCCGAGGTACCAGCATTAACTGGGCAGTGCCCACTCTCCAGAGATCTGGAGCCCACCTCATGGAGGAGGTCTGAACTCTGTGGGGACCAGCACAGCCTAGAAGGGGGCCCTCCCCAGAGGTCTGGATCCTGGCTTCATGGGGCACTGTCTCCAATCTTCTACAATTAGATAAGCCCCTCTCTGTCCATTTGTCCCTCCAACTCTTAGGATGCAAGCTGCAGTTATGACATCTGTATTACCTCAATGCTCCTCTTCTGTCCTTTCTATCCTTTGGTAGCTGTGTAATGAACAGTGAAGTCATTATGTTAAAAACCTTTCTAATGTGGAATGGGTCACTTGGAAGCCCATTTCTTATCAGATTGGCTTAATGACCTGCAGTGGGGAATAAGAGAGCTAATTCTGAAGTTATTTTGGATTTGCCCAGCAAGCATATATCAAGGGAATCAGCTTCCATCCCACAGAATGATAATTCATTCTCTGTGGTCATTGGGACACAACCCTTGAGACATTTACAGCTCACACCCAAAGTCCACTGGCTTTAGTTACGTTTTTAAAAATTTACTTACACCATTTAAAAATACTCCTCCTGCACTGCAAGTAATGCACAGAGTCTCACTATCGTGAGGTTTCACCAGCACATAACAAATTTCCCCATGAATTTGTCTCCAAGGTGGGGCTCGACATCCATTTGAAAATTCATAATCTGAAACCAATCATCAAGCAATTAGCAAGAGTTCCTTAATCTAGAGTTTGGTAAAAAGGTGTTGGCTTCCACAAAATAAATATTGTGGAAATTTTAAGTTTTCCCCTTCTTAAACCCTCTCTTGTAATGTAGACATTGAAAGCATTTTGAAAATATAATTATAATAACATAAATAACATAAAATGAGCCTGAGAAAGCATCAAACCTGAAGTATATTCAATAGATTCCAAGACTGTTTGGTCTCCTTTTCCCGAGAAACGTTTGAGCAGTTCTATATCCTTCTTCACTGTCATGGGATTTAAACTTATTTCTCTGAAATAAATATTTAAAATGTCAGTTTAAATACTTTAAACAGAATCTACAGGAAAAACATGAACACATTTCATTATATCATGATAAATGTCTTTTTTTATAATTAAAATTGCAGTTAATTTTAGCTGTGCTATAATTTTATAGCAGCACTGTCAACACATCAGGACATTAGTTATTCATGTTTAATGCAACATTAAACGTACTCCATTAAATATTCACTTTATTTTGTACTGATAATATTCTAATAGTAAAAATATTAGAAAAATGAACATGCTTTGGACTATACAAGCTCTACATGATATTGGCATTATAATTTAATAATTTGCATAATAGTCTTAAGAACCTTTGAAAATAATAAGGCCACCTGATGTCTTCAGAATTGCATGAAACCCCACCAGAATATTTTAGTGATGTTACCTGCAACTTTTAATTTTTAGAACTAGAATAAATTAATCCCAAGAAAATTGTTTGTTCCAATAAAATGTAAAGTTAAATCCATAGCAATAACTCCCATACTTCATTTTTCTTGTGTGTCTTTTCTAAACTCTAAAGGCAACTTTGTAACTAATTTTTAAAGGTTCTTTTTTTTAATTTAAATTTATTTATTACTTATTTATCCATCTATTTTGAGACAGAGTTTTGCTCTGTCACCCTGGCTGGAGTGCAGTGGTGCAATCTTGGCTCAACACAATAGAGGTTCCTTTTTAAAAGACTCACAACGAAATATGTTTTAGAGAATGATTGAGGAGGTGCTGATCCAATTGCTTAAGCAGCATAGCAATCTTCTTCTTAATTTCACTTTCAGGATCATCATCTCTGGTAATTTTATCAAGAATACTTAATGCAATTGAGTCTTCTTTCATTGCATTATAATCGGAGCCCAGGATTTTTACTATGGGGTCTCTGTTAGCTGACAATAACAACAACAACAAAAAAAGGAGACAAATAAAAATTACCCTTTTGTCTTCTAGCACAACAAACATTAAGACTAATAAATCCTTCAGAGTCTATTCAAATGTGTTTCTTTCATCAAGCTTTTTCTAATCCACCCAATTAGAATTCATCTCAATGTCTGAGATTCCATTGCTTTTAGGAACTTTCTTCTATCTCATGAGATGCTCCAGTTAATATTGTAATATCATCTACATATCTCCGTAATAGCACAAAGACCAACACCTCCATTCATTATTTCTTCTTTCATTGGCTGTGAGGCATTGTTCAGAATGTACATTCAATTAGTGTATCAGAAATTTATTTGAAGATAGAGAAATAATGTTCTCCTTAGAAGAATCATAGAACTATATGTGCATGTGTGTGTGTGTGTACCAGTGCTGGGTATTTATAAAGGCGTTCTTTCCAAAATAGCATGCTTTCCTAAGCCTACAAACCCACTACCAGTCTTCTGCGCCTATTCAAACTGCTTCATATTCACAATGCCATGTGATCTTAGAGTTGGAAAGCACATCTAGCAGCACATACATATATACATACATATATATATTAAAATTACATTGAAAAACACTACTTCATGATCAAGACTGATACATGTGAAAGTTGAACCTAGAGATGCTGAAAACAGAATTTCGTAAATGTCAAAACCCAATATGGTTGAAAATGAAGGAGAAAGGGGAAAACCCTTGTTTAGAATAGAAAAATTTGAGAAAGATGAAAATATATATACATTGAGACGGGGTTGGGGGAGGAAGGCCTATGAGACTAATTTAGAAAGCTTGACTTAAATGACATGAAGAAAAGTGTAGTGATGGCATTAAGCTTCCCATGTGGCCATGGGACATGCCACGGCCTTTGGGCTGAGAAAAAGGACTTCACTGGGAGAAAGAAGAGCAAAGCAAAGAATACCAAGGAATTAACCATTTATTGATCATCTCAACTTAACAGCCTTATGGCTGTCATCACAATAGAAATTTACAAAAAGATATAGCTGGTGAATTCTGAGGAATGACACAAACCTGCCATGTACCACGCAACACGGACCTGAAACTAAGGCAAAATTCTTGCAGAAACAGTGAAATGCAGCAAAGGATAAGTATTTAGCTAATGGATAAGTATTTGGCTATATAGAAATCTACGTATTATGTCTGTCAATTAAGTTGAATTGAATGAACAATCCATCAATTAACTATCTTCTTGAATTCAGCTTTACTCTTCAAGATTTGATACTCTCACCTAATAAGGAATAATAGGCAAGACATAAAAAATAAAAACCCTGCAGTCCTGAGGTTGAGATCTTAAAAAAAAAAAAAAGACTATCTTCCCATCTCATACAGAAATGGGCAAAATTCAAATACCATGTGCCAGAAACCCACTGGTCACGTAATTCCAAAAAGAAAAACACATACATTATTACCTATGATTAGGTATTTCTACTCATAAGAAACATTTACAACATGATTATAGCAGGCAATTGCATGTTAGATGATTAGATGATAGTGTGAACACCACATATCTTTAAGAAGAAGAAAAAAATTTGCCACAGTGTTGAATGACTGTAACTATTCACAGAAGGCTGTGAGGTCCACAGCGGAATACGACTGAGAAAAGTGGAAAGAGATTATTAAAGGCTGTCTCTGCTAAAGGAAGAGTGCACATTCATTTTAAAGGAAACAGATTTTCATTCATCATGGCAGTATGCCGAGGGAGAGAGTGGATTCAGAGGCCGGCCCTTGTCGTCTGTCTTCTCTCCTGACACTGACCTAACAGGCTACAGCCCCCTGTGCTTTCCAGAAGCTGAGAAGGTTCTTTTTCAAACCGCATGCTAAAACTAGAAACCTAGAAACTTACTAGTGGTAATGTAGCAGGCCTTTCATTTTCAAGCAGAAATTTGATAGGAGCATAATATTGCAGCCAAGGAAAATTAATAACGTTTTCATGAAGTTGTGCATTTGACTTTCCACCTTGTAGATTGTAGAGCTTTTTTCAAGAGACTCTAACAAATGACCCTCCCACCCTTTCCCCAGTTCCCCAGCAAGACTGTTTCTACAAGTGCAAATTACAGACTGGAGGCCTAAGATCACCTTCAACACACGCTTGTGCTTCCTTCAGCTTCGCAGTTTTGGCAATAAATAACAAGCGTGACAGCTGCCCAAAGCTCCTAATTTTAATTTGTGGTACAGAGAGAAATAGCAAAGGCTGTCCATTTTTGTCAACTTCTTCTGATATGACTGTTGTTTCACTAAAAATAAAAATAAAAAATTGAAAGCTTCATGCTACCTGGAGACCAGCAGAAATTAAATTTTAGACATTTAGACAGATTATTCCTATATTTCATTATAAAATAGAGAAAATATAAATACATCTGGTTAGGAGCTCATCTATTTTCCCACTTTCTTCCACACTCAAACTCTTACATCCTGAAACTTATCAGCAACCATACTGATCAGTAGGATATATCCAAGGAAGAATTTTTTTTTTTTTTAGCAATTTCTTGAATTCACAATTTAACTCAAATAGTCACAGTTTTTGGTTTTGTTTCTCTAAAACTTGTTGATTTCTGGCACATTTAAAAAATCATTGGTTCCGCAAAATCGTTTATGCTTTGGGGATTTCTAATGTTATTTTATTTATAAAAATTTTTACACCACAGTAATTAGTGGTTAGGGGTTTTCTTGGCTACACTGTGTTTATGAAAAAAAAAAGCTATGAAAAAAAAGCAAACTCAAGGCAAACTAGATCCTCTCTGTGGATTCCTTTCCCACTCTAAACTTCATTTAGTTTGCCTTGGGATAATAGGCAGTTTTTCTAAATGGGCTTTTCCTGATCAAAAGTTATTGAGTCTCCTAGCTTTGTGCTTCTATCCATTTTAATGATTTTTTTCAGGTTGACATTTAAAAAATATTAAGATGTTTTTATGAAAGTAATATTTCTATAGATTTCCACCACTTACCACATTAACTAAACTGTCCAGGTTTTGTATTACAGGAGGCCATCTCCGATGAAACTGCTGACACCTTAACACCTGATCTAGCTTTTTTTTTTTTTTCTTTCTTTTTTTTTGAGACGGTCTCCCTCTGTCACCCAGGCTAGAGTGCAGTGGTGCAATCTCAGGTCACTGCAACTTCTGCCTCCTAACAGGCTCAAGCAATCCTCCCACCTCAGCTTCCCAAGGAACTGAGACTAGAGGCGCACACCACCACACCTGGCTAATTTTTGTAGTTTTCGTAGATATGGGGCTACACCATGTTGGGCAGGCAGGTCTTGAATTTCTGAGCTCAAGGGATCCACCCGCTTCAGCCTCCCAAAGTGCTGGGATTACAGGCGTGAGCCATCACGCCTGGCCTAATCTAACATATTTTGAAGTGCTTTTAGATGTAGAGATGTAAAATGTTGCTAGTTCATCAGAAAAAGTAAATCTGACCGACCCACATTACTTACTGCTGATGATCTCACTGGAATAGAAACGAGAGGAGATGAACTATGGGAGACAGAATAATGGCCACATCCTAATCCCCAAAACCTATGAACATGCCATCTTACATGGCAAAACGGGCTTTGCATGGAAATTAAGTCAAGGATCCTGAGATGGGGAGACTATTCTGGGCATCTGGAGGGAGCCAAACATAATCACCAGGGTTCTTAGGAAGACAGGAAGGACAGAAGCAGTGACAGGGATAAGCTGATAGAAGCAGTGGTGGGAGTGATGTGGGGCCGTGAGCCAAGGAGCCATAAGCCAAGGAACAGAGGGGCCTCTAGAAGCTTGAAAGGCAAAGAATAAATTCTTCTTGAGCCTCCAGAAGGAATGCAACCCTATCAATACCTTGCTTTTAGCCTGCAGATTCATTTTAGACTTCTGACCTCTAGAACTATAAGATAATACATTTGTGTGTGTTAAAACATTAGGTTTGTGGCAATGTGTTACAGCAGCAAAAGAGGGCTCACAGAGGGACTTTATCAGCCCGATTCTTCTGGGTGCAGGTAGGGACTACCCTATCTCCAGGACTTCAGGTAGGAACTGCACACAGAAGGCATTTAGTAAATATCTGTGGAATAAATGAATGAATAAAATATGTAGACTTGCCAAGGACATGCATTGTGTACAAAATGTATATTTTCTCTAAAATTAAGCTTCTGGAATAATGTCCTTAGGACTAAAGAGATTTCTTAAAGGCCTGTTACCTAAAGGTTACTCACATCAAGGGCTGGCCACCTATGCTAAGTGGATGGAAAGAGGGCTAAGCAATAGGCTGACGGAATGCCACAGATAGCAAGCTACTTGGAAAGAGAGAAACTCCTGGTGAGAAACCCAAGGGCACAGGTGACATTTTTTCATTGCTCCTACCAGTTGAAGCCTGTAACTTAACAGAGAAGTAAGAAATAAAATGCCAGCTACATCAACCAGGAGTGGTGGCACATGCCTGTGGTCCCAGCTACTTGGGAGGCTGAGGTGGGAAGATCACTTGAACCCAGGAGGTGGAGGTTGCAGTGAGCTGACATCATACACCACTGCACTCCAACCTGAGTGACAGAGTGAGACCCCATCCCAAAAAGTTAAAATAAAAATAGATTAAAAAAAAAAAAAAACGCCAGCTATACAAAGAATTTTGAAGAGGAAGTTTCAGTTTTCAGGCTCACAGTTTCTAACACCTAGAGAATGAGCTCTTGGAAAGAAAACGCTGCACCCACCTTGCGAAGGTCAGAAGAATAAGCTATTGAAAACTCCAGTAGCCTGATGGAGAGACTTTTAAACCAGAATTGTCGAAAGGAGCTAAAAATTCTGTTTATATTCTAAAGCAAGAAAGCAGGAAAATGTCTTTTTTCTTTAATCCCCAGTGTATCGAGTTTAGTGGGGTTTTTTTGTTTGTTTGTTGTTTTTTAAGAGCTAGGATCTTGCTCCGTCACCCAGGCTGGAGTACGGTGGCACAGTCATAGCTCCCTGCAGCCTCAAACTCCTGGGCTCAAGGGATCCTTCTCCCTCAGCCTCCCAAGTAGCTGGGACTGCAGCTGCGTGCCACCACTCCTGGCTGTTTATTTATTTGTCTCTTTAGTTATTTATTATTTATTTTTTAGAGATAAGGTCTTGCTATGTTGCCCAGGCTAGCCTTGAACTCCTGGGTTCGAGTGAGTCTCCCATCTCCACCTTGCAGAGTTCTGGGCTTACTGGTATGGGCCACCACACCCAGCTCATTTAGTGTCTTATTACTTAATAAATGCATGTCTAAATAGTAATATAGAAAGTAAGGCTATAGCTAAGAAACTATTTAGCAGTTTTCAGGGACAAAAAAATAAACAGCTCAATAACAAAACTTATGGCACTGATCCTACTACTGTGACTTAGAAATTTTACCAAAATGCAATAATTATTGTCTCATAAAACAATATTATTTTATAGGTTGAGTGTAACCTTAGAGATCATGTAAATTCCGCCTTTCATGATATTGATGACAAAACTAAGGTCCAGAAAGGTATGAACTATGTGTGAATTGTGCATTCTTGAGGGGAAGACAGCCATTGCTCAGGCAACCTGACTTCCTTTCCCAACTCCTACCAGAATATATTTTTATCTCAATGTATATATATCACTGAGATGCGGTGGAATCAGAATTTAAAACTAAAATATGGCAACATTATAGCACATTTGATTCAAAAAAACATACTGTAGTTCTCCCAGAGAAGGAAAAAAAAATCAGGTAATAGCATTTTCACGTGATTCTGGACGCTTATCCAATTTATAAATTTCCCAAGCCACATTCGAAAGAATCAAAGTGCCTTCGTTCTGTGTGCCACAGATGGTATTGCCATTGAGTGGTGTCATTTGTTCTTAGTTTACAACAGACTTAGGCTTCATTCTGAGGTGTTTTAGGAAGATTATGAATTTCATCCTGCCTGATAAGAACAAAAGCAATTGTAAATGATAATAAAAAAGAGACCTGGCTGAGTGCGGTGGCTCACGCCTGTAATCCCAGCACTTTGGGGGCCAAGGCAGGCAGATCCCCTGAGATCAGGAGTTTGAGATCGGCCATAACAACATGGAGAAACGGTGTCTCTACTAAAAATACAAAAATTAGCCCGGTGTGATGGCACAAGCCTGTAATCCCAGCTACTCGGGAGGCTGTGGCAGGAGAATGGCTTGAACCTGGGAGGTGGAGGCTGCGGTGAGTTGAGAGTGCCCCACTGCACTCTAGCCTGGGCAACAAGAGTGAAATTCAGTCTCAAATAAATGAATGAATGAATGAATGAATGAATGAATGAATGAAAAAGAGGTCTGTGATTTCCATGAAATGAAAGTAGAACTATTTGACCCCCAGCCCCCACCCCAAAACTGAGCATGGACAGATGACGACAAATGTTATAACAGGATGAAAACACTGAGAATAATTCTAAGGAAAAGACAAATCAGGTAACATGGACAGTGCTATAATCGGCACAAAAGTAGAGAAGGCAGTTGATGAAACATAAAACCTTTCTAGTGTGTGACTAAAGTATCTATTTCAGTATCAGATCCTCATTAGTCTAATCAGAAAAAGGATGATCAACTTTTACTGACTGTTGCCCAGAGTGCATTTGAAATGTACAACATCAAATGAGCGCTAAGGCCACAAATATAAATATATTCCCATCAATGTCTGCAGAGACCAACCAAAAAAGGGTGACTTACCTACTTCGGCAGAATTCCAGTGTAGATAAAACTTAACTTGTCTTGGAATAAGAGGCCTGAGAGGTCTACCCACAAGGAGAGGCATCCACCTTTACTCTAAATATCCAAGGACATTTCTATTTGGTAGAAAAACATCTGGAGACTCCAAGCTCAAATCCTTCAGGATAATCTTGGCCTTACACATGGATGCCCAGACCTGAATCCCGTCTGGAAGGAAAGTAGCTTCCCAATTTTCAATAAATGTATAAATAGTGTACTAACAGGAGAGAAGCCAAAAGTGTGTGCTTGGTCTAAAGGGCAATGAATGAGGTCATGGGGACTGTTTTGATAATCAATCTCTGGGCAGTAGAGAATATCTCTGGTTGACATCACTGGTTGATGTGGCAAACCCTGATTGGCTATGGCTTACTGAATTTTCTTTGGTTTGGGGAGTAGACCGGGGTATAGTCAAAACCTGGATGTTAAAGCATCTGGTATTTTCCATTATGACTAAAATCTCAGCTGTACCCTTTGCCTTCTTCAAGGCAGTCATGGTTTTCATCAGAGCCAGGCAAGCATGGTTTCCTTCTCATATAACAGCAATACCTCTCTCTACCCTTCCATCATCAAAGATATCATCAATGAAGGTCAGACACAAAAAGAATGGATTGAGAAATTAGCCCAAGGAAAAGTTGCACAGTAAATGTGACCAAAGTATAAAAATCAAGGGGTAATTGTTTCAAAATGTCAAAATGTCCTTCTTAGGAGGGAACATTGTGCATAAAGACTGCATGCAAAACTGGGCACAGTCGCTTAGGTCTGAAACACCAGCAATTCAGAAGGCCAAGGTGGAAGGATCTCTTGAGGCCAACGGTACAAGATCAGTCAGAGCAACATAGGGAGATAGTGTCTCTACAAAAAAAAATAGAAAAATTGACAGGGCATGGTAGTATGTGCCTATAGTCCTAGCTGCTTGTTGGGGGGGGAGGGGGTGAGGTGGGAGGGTCCATTCAACCCAGAAGTTGGAGGCTGCAGTGAGCTATGATCATGCCACTGCACTCCAGTGTAGGCAACAGAACCAGACCCTGTCTCAAATTAATAATAAATAAATAAATAAATAAATGTGTGCTGAGATATAAGAATAGAAGTAAAGCAAAAAGAATCTGAACAAGAATAGAGGAGAAGCAGTGACAGATTTGAGTCATGTGTGTCAGAGCCTGGAGGGCAGATGTGGTCATGTTTGTGCTTGGAGCAAAAATTCGTACAGAGGCAAAACAATTACAATCATGATATTCTTTTCTATCATCTGCTTTAAATGCATTTTTGTAAAAAATAGTAATTAATATTTTTTTTTGAGATAGAGTTTTGCTTTTTCGCCCAGGCTGGAGTGCAGTGGTGCAATCTCACTCACTGCAACCTCCACCTCCCAGAACCAAGCAATTCTCCTGCCTCAACCTCCAGAGTAGCTGGGATTACAGGCATGCACCATCACAGCAGGTTAAGTTTTGTATTTTTAGTAGAGACAGGGTTTCACCATGTTGGCCAGGCTGGTCTTTAAATTCTGATCTCTGGTGATCTGTCCACCTCAGCCTCTCAAAGTGCTGGGATTACAAGTGTGAGCCACCTCGATCAGCAGGGTAGTTAATATGTTTTTAATTGGTTTTATGTAGGAGATCATATTTCAAAGGTTAGGAAGAAAGCTGAAATGACAATCACTTCTGAAGAAAGTTACCACTGGCATAGTTAGAAATAAAAATGCACCATTAAAAAAAAAATAAGATTTCAGGCTAGGCGCGGTGGCTCACACCTGTAATCCCAGCATTTTGGGAGGCCAAGGCAGGTGGATTGCCTGAGCTCAGGAGTTCGAGACCAGCCTGGGCAACATGGTGAAATCCCGTCTCTCCTAAAATACAAAAAAATTCACCAGGCATGGTGGCGGGCACATGTAATCCCAGCTACTAGGAAGAACTGAGGCAAGAGAATTGCTTGAACCTGGGAGGCGGAAGTTGCAGTGAGCCAAGATCATGCCACTGGACAAAAGAGCAAGACTCCATCTGCAGGAAAAAAAAAAAAAAAAAAAAAGATTTCAAACAACTCAGAGAGAAGCCTGACCAATATAAGAATTAAAGAGCTCTTGAAATGCAGTTTAAGAATGGTTTTGCTGAAGTTCTAAAAATGAAATTCTGACTTTATTCTCACAAATAATCCCAAAGGGAGAAAAGGGAAACAGCAGCTACAGGAAGCTTTGGCTAGCTAGGGAACTTTTTCTGACATGATCAGACTTTAATAGTTCACATCCAAACCGAAGAACAAGGCAGTAAAAAATAGAATGCCTAAGGTGTAAAAACAAACTGAGGCTGGCAAAATATATATATAGGGGTGTGTGTGTGTGTGTGTGTGTGTGTACCTATATATGTCTGTGTGTATATTTGTTAGCTTATTTCTTGTATAATTATAATGTGTAATGAAATAATACATTCTTATACAATTATATTTATGTTTATATAATTTATGTGTGTGTGTGTGTGTATTTTAGCCATGTTTGAATGAGATAGATTCACTGTTTGAGACAAAAGTAAATTTTTTTTTTCATCTCAGATTTGAAAGGCTCTCATCTGAAGACAGTACTAAGTCTTAAGAATTCTCTCCCTTATATTGATCAAAATCAAAATTAATCCTTTATCAGTTGCCCACCCCACCTCCTGCTGTTATTCCCAGGAATTGATCAATTTAAATACCAGAAGAGATTTTCTCTACATCAGAGGTCATGAAAGCAATGGCTCCTGGAATCCTTCAGGCAATACAGTAGTACCCCACAAACTTACGAAAATAAAATTCAAAAGAATATGGATGAGCCGGTATGGTGGCTCAGCATTTTAGAAGGCTGAGGCAGGAGGATCACTTGAGGCCAGGTATTTGAGACCACCCTGGGCAACTTAGCGAGATTCCATTTCTGAAAAGTGCACATATATACACACACAAACATATGGGTGGAAAGGCCAGGCAGAAGGCAGCAATGAATGTTGGCAGTGTAGTGACCTGGATAATGTCAAAAGAAATTTACCCACAAAAATTAAAATTTTGTTTAAAAACTTTAGATTTAAAACTTAGATAGATACTGTGTTGGTCAAGCCAAAGCTCCTCGGACTTCACCTGTGTCTCTGGTTCACAATCCCTGGTTTAGAGGACTTCTGAGATTCAAAGAGGTTACGTGACTTGCCCCCAAACCTACAACCAATCAATGAAGATGTGTACAATGAAGATATTAAATACTAGAAGCAATTAACTGGCTTACCTGACAACATAACCTGATTCAAATTCTGAAGGTTCCAAACTTGTGTTCCACTCAAGTGGTTCCACAAAAACAAATTTTGCCTCTTGTGGATATTTATAGATAAAACTCTCCACAAACGTAATAACTTCTTTCAATATCGCTTCATTTAGAGGGGTGATTTCCAGGGTTCCAGCTCCATGTCCAGCAGCAGTCCACTGCGCCAATTTCGCCAGAGCCACACCCATGGGACCCGCCAGTGCTCAGACCTGCTTAGCACAACCACTACATCAGAATAGAAAGAGAAAGAGACAATAGCATCCACCTTTTCCTTGAAACATTTTTCATTTTCAAGACTTAACGTTAGTGCTCCCCACCTCACATTCTGCTTATTAATCTTAGAAGAGTGATTTCTTTAAGATTATCTAATTGCTCTTCAGTTCAAGAAAGTGGTAAACCAGCGCTAGGTAAAACTAATTAGTATTTAAGAACTTTCTGGTATTTGCCTGCCCTGAAATTAATAACTTCTTTCTAATTCCCTGGGGCCTAAGAAAGAGGATTCAAACAGATAGGCATAAAACCCAAACAAAAAAAACCTCCAAGAGTGGAAAAAAGAAATGAAAGAGGTTAGTATTCAGGGCTTTGGTTCACAGCTCTGTTGGGAGCCAGCATTTTCAGGGACAAACACTCCTTTGAACCAGGACATACATTGTTTAGAATTATACTATTAAATGGAAGACTTTATCCCAAGTATCTTATAGTGATAATATCTGCATCATCACAGTGATGATGGATTAACATGATTCTGATAGCTTTGGGTTCCCCAAGTGCCTTCTCAGTTAAAAAAGAAATAGAATAAGAACAGTATTAAGAAATATATTTTTTTCTGAAAAATGATATAGGACACATTGATCCTATTACCAGAATATCTGGACAATCCAAATACCACATTCCCTGCCCATATATCCTGCCCAGAATGACATTTACTATAATTCACAACCTTCTTAAGAGTTAATGTAAGAGACATAGGAATAAGTGAGAGTCTTTCAGCCTTTTTTTCTAAATTAGTTATCGAAGAGTCTAGCAGTAAAATTTAAAACAAATTCAAGTGAAACAAATTTCACATTGGCTTAATAGAAATTAGTCTGTAAAATAAGATCTTTTAAAAAATAACAATATCTGTAACATTAAATAAGAACCAATTAGAAAACAAATTCTGACTTTATAAGGAAATTACAAGACATTTTTTGCAGATAATCTATACTTGTTTGTTTTCTCGTTTGTAATAACACTTACCAATATAGTCTTTCTTCCAGAATATTAGAAGAACGGTTATAAAGTTAAATATAGAATAAAATTAGCTTTTTTCTCCCATCATTATTACAAATGTTCAAAGTACAAAGATTAGACTTGTAGATTTTACATTCTGTACTGTATTAAATCTTAGAACTATTAAATTCAATCACAGGAGATCATTGGATCACAAAAGTTCAGTACCTTCTGCTGATAAAGAGTGTAGAAATATTATAGAGATGTCTAGTTATCAACATGACAGGAAAGGGGGCATTACCAGCCTTTAGTGTTGAGGACCAAGGATGTAAAATATCCTTTTGTGCAGGACAGTACCTCAGAAGGAAGAATTCTGCTGTAACTTCCAGGCATCTGGTAAGTGAAAAACTTCAGATAAACACTATCTGAGCCTAGAATTTTTCTGCACTTTGCAAAAATTGCAAAGTATTTTGTTACAGTTTTAATACACCCTGAATTTCCCAGAACTGTAGCAATCATAAAGGAAAGAAAGGTTGTACATACTTTGTTTTACATGGAATTTTACCAAGAGCTCAGAATTTTGGAAAATGACAACACTGATGGCAATGTTATTTGAGAAATTTAAGTTGCAATGACACGTTTGTATCAGTCTGCATTTGGGGCTGCTGTGTTCACAGTAATTCTGTGTAAGGTCTGACTACTTCTGCATATACTCCAGTGTAGTGGTACTCTACATGCTGATATTTTGTTTAAATTATTTTCTTTCATTTTATAGTTAGCAAGCTATAGATATTTAAACTATATTAAATATGTAGGATTATAATCTGTGATCTTGATTTCAGGATAGTAAAGCAACATTACAAAATATTTGTTATAAAAAACAAGCACTGGATCAGATAGGGTCTGGAACTGTTCCAGACATATATACCAAAGTGTTCATGAAATAAAATGTAGAAGTTAGTGCACGAATTTGTTCTGGGCGTTTGTTTTAGTATTCCAAGCATTTTGTTTCTATTGCTAATTGATGAGAAAAGCTTTAGGTTTAAACACATAAACATATTTTGATTTGTATGTGTAAGACTCTCAAGTTTCCCAGTGTTGTGTAAAATAAGTGCAAATAAGTGTAAAATAGTGTAAAATAAGTGCAAATAGCTTTATCTTACACAGAAAGGCTTAGGTGGACAGTTCTGCCTTCCATCTTAAACACAGCATTTGTGTCGGTGATCTTATAAAGATTGCTTCTTGCACATTTTTAAAGAAAATAATGTGAAATTAACACAGATTATGTTAACGCTGTGGTAGTCAACATACCATACACTAACTTCTCGAAGGACCCTTAACACAGAACTAAGAAATGCAAAATCGTACTCATTTTGGTCAAGATAAATTTTGACAGAAATGTAACATTTGAATCTATTCAAATTGTATTTCTAAGTCTAGTGAACCGTAGCAATGCACAAGATTTTTATTCAAGAAGGTTGGTCGGCTTAAGAAAACCTCAGATGGCCTATGACAATTCAGAAGGCAAGTTCAATATTATTAGAAAATAAATAAATAAATGGTGTTCAAAAATGGTTAGTACAACTCGAAACTAAGATTTAAAAATCAAGAGCAGTTGCTCTCCAGTTTCTACCCATTGCCAATCCCCGTTAGCTCTTTTGGCTTAAGAACCATAGTTAAAATGAATCCATATAAATACATAGCACATACCTTTGAAGTAAAGAAAATAAGTTTAACGATTAAAAGCGAAAAAGTTTTTGGCTACGTGTTTACATAAACTGGGATGTTTACGTAAACTGGGAATCACTTAACACTCATTTTTCTCTTTATCCAATAGATACCATAGATTGTTTTTCTTTTTAAGGGTTAATTTCAAGCTTCCAGCATCATTAGCGAAATGAAACCCATTCCGGAATCATGTCGTTAACACTTAAGCAGAAGCACAACCGAATTCTTTAGGGGGCGATGGAAAGGCAGTCATCAGCTCTGAGATCTACAAACGTGGTTGTACCCTCCACCGGGAGCCCGCGCATGCCTGGCTTTCTGAGAATGCAGAAGTTACTCAGTGAGACCTGTGAAAAATCGAACTTTCAAACTGCCATGAACAGGGCCCTAAGTAAGACCAAAGCTGAGCCTAGGCCCCCACTAGACCCATTACAAGAAGGGGGCGTCAGAGCTGGAGTCCAGGTTTCCAGGGATGAATTCGCTGAGGGGGCGAGGTGGGAAGGGGCCCGGAAGACCACGCTGGGAGCGGGAGGCAGAGCTGCAGGGGCGGAGGAGAAAGACCAGCCGGCCGCAGGAGAGGCGGGGAAGCGGCGGGAGAAGTGGAGAGCGGATCCGGGAGTGCTAGTGCGGGGGCGGTGCCGAGGGGGGCGCGGGCACCCAGGAGCAGACGGTCCGCGGGCGGGGGCCGAGGCCAGGCCTCGCGGGGAGGAGTGAGGCTGGGGGAGAGACGGGGAGGGGGCGGGCCTCGGCCCTCGGGAGGGAAAGGGGAGCTGGCGAGCGCCGCAGCGGCGGGGCCAGAGAGCGGCCTCGGTTTCCACATCCACGCAGCCGGCTGCAGAGTCCCCACGGGGGTGGGCGTGGGGACCCCCCGGCCGCACTCACCTGCAGCCAGCGCCCTGCCGTGCCGCGGTCGGCGCCCGCCTGTTGCTAGGACGCCGGTCAACACCTCGCGCCCGGCGGCTGCGCGCGGTTGCGCCCTTGGCGGAGGCCTCCCGGGCCTGTGCCCTCCCCCGGGCGCCGCCGCAGCCCTCCGCTCCCACCCTCACCTGCCCGCGATCGCAGCCGCGTCAATCACCGCGGTCCCGGGACCTCTGCGCCTCCGAGGTTCCTGCGGGCCTGCTGCGCCGAACACCCGCGCCGGAGACGCTGTGCGCCCGCGCTGGGCTCCACCAGCCCCGGCCACCTGCTGCTTTCGCTCGGCCCCTCCCGGGAAACACTTGTATTCCACTCTGCATCTCCCTTTCTCAAACACTTTTATGCAGCTCCCGAGTAGGCATCCCAACTCACTCCACGCGGTGGGAAAGGCTGACCTTCTCGAAGGTTGTGAGCAGTTGCCGGGTCGGGGGCAAGTTGGCAGAAACTTAAAATGGAGCAGTAAGGAAACAGAAAATATTCCTTAGGAACTCCGTTTTGCGTTTCTCCACAGCCTTCCGAACAAGTGCGTTGTATGTACCTGAAATCTTCACTGAGTACCCCCAAATAGCATAAGGTCTCTCATAGGATGTTGGAGGCTTCCATGTTTCTTTCCAAAAAACAAATATGGTAGAATACTCTGGTACTCACCGGAGAAGCAGAAAGTGCTCTTCAATAGGGCAGAGGATTGGAGTGAAATGAAACCATGTCCCCCATCTCTTTTTTAAATGGCTTTTACCTTTGTCTATTAAGATGATTTTGACCCCACCTGGAGACACCCTACCAGCAAGAATCCCAACTGGAAAACCAGTGAGGGATAAGGGAGTGGGAGTATTGGGGGGAGGGGAGATTAGGCACTGTCTGGGGGTGGGGGCCCACAGTGTTTAGGGACCAATGCGGGGGGATTTAGGATGATGGAGTTTCGGAATTAAAGCTGGATTCTTTTCAAGAGGCCAAAGAGGCAAATGTGGAATGATGTTAGGATCACCTGTCATAATATTATACGGATCCAGCTCAAAGCAGAAACTTCGTACTAACATGTAGGGATATGAGGTATAGATATTTGTCCTTTGTTTTGGGTATTTTGGAGGCTGGGGGACGGAGTCTGGCTCTGTCATCCAGGCTGGGGTGCAGTGGTGTGATCTCAGCTCACTGAAACCTCTGCCTTCTGGTTCAAGAGATCCTCCTGCCTCAGCTTCCTGAGTAGCTGGGACTACCAGCATGCACCACCACACTGGGCTAATATTTGTACTTTGGGTAAAGATGGGGTTTCACCATATTGGCCAGGCTGGTCTCAAACTTCTGACCTCAAGTGATCTGCCCACCTCTGCCTCCCAAAGTGCTAGGATTACAGGCATTGAACCACCTCGCCTGGCCAGTTTTGGGTTCTTTTTTTCTCTTTTTGAAAGTGCTGAAGTTGTTAGGAATGGAATAGTTTCCCCTAAAGGAGGCTCTACTCTCAGAGAAGCTTCGACTTGCAACCAGTGAGAAAGGTGCTAATGCTAATAGGTACATAGAGGAGCCTTTTTAAAAATGAGTGGATTACAGCGTGAGACAACATCATACTTGTGGTGGGAATGCAGCTCACAACCTGGTGAGGAGCAGAGTGCATCCTTCAGACGGGCCCTGGAATAGTCCCAGTCCTGGAAGCAGGGAAGCTTCTGCAGGTTCTTTAGCTCCTCTGCATGTTTTAATTAGCTGTAGGACATGAGGGAGCATTACTGGGTCCAATGTGGACACCAACCAGAGATCTTCCAAGTTCAGGACACTTGACCTTGGTTGGCAAAGCTGGAAAAAGCCACCACTCACCAAGATCTAAGCAAATTTGTTTTCATTTGCCAAATTCATGCCAAGTGTCAAAATCTACCATCACTTAATCTGATGGCAAAATGTGAATTTATTTTACCTGAGATTTTCCAAAGAAAAAGGACTTAGTAATATTTAAATCTGAAGAAGTCCCCAGTTACCTCTTTCCAGTTTTTCCTTGCCATGATGAAACACTAACTGGACCAAGTCACTTCCTAACGGACTTATCATGACTCGTCTTACTCTGTCACCCAAGCTGGAGTGCAATGACATAATCATAAACATAGCTCACTGCAGCCTCTAGTTCCTGGGCTCAAGTGATCCTCCAGCCCTGGCCTCCAAAAGCACTGGGATTACAGGCGTGAGCCACTGTGCCTGGCCATAACTTGTCTTTGCCTTCTTGCCCATCTGCTACCCCTACAAGGTAAGCTTTATGAAAATAGGGAGCTTTTCTGTCTTCTTCAAGTCTGTACTCCTGAGATCTAGAAGGATGACTGACACATAGAAGGAGCTAAATTCAAGAATCGCCTAGTCAAAGATGCCTTGCTTCCAGACACCCTTCACCAAGCACCAGAAAGGTGAGGCCTACATTTTCTTAGAGCTGATAGAACCAGCCTGAGGATTCTAAGTAACTGTGATATTGGAAAAAGCCCTCATCACTGAGAGCATGCCCAGGGTTTGCTGTGCCAGAGGGCTTTGCCAGCCCTGCCCATAGCTAGAGCACGGGCACAGGGCACAGTGCTGTCCACTGAAACTTTAGAGAAAATCTGCCATGGGCTTCTGGGAAAAGTCTTGAAAGTTTTTGCTCCACCTCTGCAACGTTATGTCATCTACAGCAGGGGTCCCCCATGCCACACCTTCTGTCAGATCAGCAGTGGCATTAGGTTCTCATAGAAGCATGAAGGATCTAGGTTACAAGCTCCCCATGGGAATCTAATGCCTGATGATCTATTGCTATCACTCATCATCCCCAGATGGGACCATCTAGTTGCAGAAAAACAAGTTCAGGGCTCCCACTGATTCTACATTATGGTGAGTTGTATAAATATTTCTTTATATATTACAATGTAATAATAATAGAAATAAAGTGCACAAGATATGTAATGAGTTTGAATCATCCTGAAACCATACCCCCTCCCAATACCCTGTCCATGGAAAAATTGTCAGCCACAAAACTGGTTCCTGGTGCCAAAAAGGTTGGGGACTGCTGATCTACAGGGATTCTTGTGAAACCATCCTCCCTGGCTTGAACAAATCTGTTCCTCTCATGTGTCAGAGAGTTCAGACACAGATTGCACATATTAGTTTGCTAGGGCTTTTGTAACAAGGTACCACTGGGTGGCTTAAACATCAGAAATGTCTTATCTCACAGTGCTGCAGGCTAGAAGTCCAAGATCAAGTGTTGGCAGGATTGATCCCTTCTGAGAGCTATGGGGAACAGATGTATTCCAGGCTTTTCTCTTCAGCTTGTAGATGGCTGTTTGCACATTCATATGATGTTATCCCTGTGTGCTTGTCTCTGTATGCAAATTTCTACATTTGAGACAGGACCCAGGCTGGAGTGCAATAGCACAATCACAGCTCACTGTAACCTTGACATCCCAGGCTCAAGTGATCCTCCCACCTCATCCTCCCTAGTAGCTCAGACTACAGGCGTGCACCACCACACTCAGATAATTTTTTTAAATTCTTTGTACAGATGGGGTCTTGCTATGTTTCCCAGTCTGATCTTGAACTCCTGGGTTCAAGTGATCTGCCTGCGTCAGCCTCCCAGAGTGCTGGGATTACAGGCATGAGACACTCCTCCTGGCTTATTTCCTCTTTTCTTATGAACACCAGTCACATTGGATCAGGATTCACCCTCATGAACTCATTTTAACTTGATTACTTGATTATAAAAACCCTATCTTCAATATGGTTGCACTCTGAGGCACTGGAGGTTAGGACTTAAGCATATGATTTTATGGGGACACAATGTCACATACAGCATTCTGTAAAGATGTGATCAGCAGGCTTCCAGGGCCCATTCAACTGTGTTAGAATGACGCTAAGAATTTGTAGGCCATAACCAGGGAGAAAGTAACAGGCAAGTTTGGTTTAAGTGTCCAGTACCTCAATCAGGAAAGAACTAAGACAGATGAAATAAACCTCATGATATTTGCAGGGAATTACAGTCATTTACATTGTGTCATAATGGGGGTAAAGTCTCATTATAGGGCCGAATTGCCTCTCTGTGGGTTTTTTTCAGGAGTTTTCAACAGAAACTCCAATGAGAGAAAATTACATGAAATCTTATGAAGTCCTGAAGACCAAATTCACCAGATTCTACCTTCTCGCATAGAGACAAAAAGTCAAAGAAGTGCAGCCTCATTTGCCTCCCTGTGCCTTCTGATATTTCTCTGTGATGCAATGTGGACCCAGGCCCATGGCCTGGAAATGAAATGTCTCCTTCTCCTTAGAGTCTAATCTCCTAGACATTCATTTACTCCAAAATGCTTTTTGTATGCCAATTTGTGGCAGGCACTCTGTTGGCAGAACTCAATTATCCAATTCAGGACCTGGCCAAAAAAGGAGTCAACTAAACTCAACCCAGAATTCCTGGACCAGAAGGAGAGCCATTGGCATGGAGTTCAGTAGCAAAGGAGAGAAAGGAGAAAAGACAGACTCGGTGGGTAGGATTGCATGAGGTAGAGCCATAATAAGGATTGAAATATTCTTCCAAGAACCAATGAAAGTTACTGGAAGAGTTTAAGCAGGGATTGACATGCCCTGATTTCTCTTGTTAAGAAGCTGTTCTGGTTACACCAGGGAAGTAAACGGGAGAAGTGCATAAGTAGAAAGAAAGAGACTATTAACCAGGCACCTGGACTCAGGTTTCCCCCGGGAAATAGACTCTGGGATAGAGAAGGGCATGTGAGGCTGGGGCAGTGGCTCATGCCTGTTATTCCACCACTTTGGGAGGCTGAGGTGGACAGATCACAAGGTCAGGAGTTGGAGACCATCCTGGCTAACACGGTGAAACCCCATCTCTACTAAAAATACAAAAAATTAGCCGGGCATGGTAGTATGTGCCTGCAGTCCCAGCTACTCTGGAGGCTGAGGCAGGAGAATCACTTGAACCTGGAAGGTGAAGGTTGCAGTGAGCCAAGATTGCGCCACTGCACTCCAGCCTGGGCAACAGAGCGAGACTCCGTTTCAAAAATAAAAGAGAGGGGCATGTGAGAAATGTATTGAAAAGTGCCTTCAGGAGAGTGAAGGCAAGGAGTTTAGGCC